TCTCTCTCTCTCTCTCTCTCTCTCTCTCTCTCTCTCTCTCTCTCTCTCTCTCTCTCTCCCCCCCTCCTCCCTCCCTCCCTCCCTCCCGCGCGACTTTTGTTTCTTTTTTCCATTCGTTTTCATTCTTTTTTATTTTTTTGTATTTGTTTTTTTCTTTCTTTCTTTCTTCGTTTTCTCTGTAGTGTCATTCTCACAAAACCGGGGTCCGGCCTTCAAGCAGCGACCGAGCCTTCCCTTGGCCGACCCCCGAACAATGTGGCGCGTTAACGACAAAAACCCGCGGCCAACGTATGGGCCAAGTACTAGTGGTTTAAGGTACTTCTGGGGGAAATTTGATATCCTACACCGTACCACAGGTCTCGGCTAAAGGGGGAAAAAACGGTTGTTTCTTCTCTCCAACTGTTGCGTGTCACCACCGCCGTGGCGTGTGGCAGGTATGATTCGAGAAAAGTCCCGGACCCCGTACCTGTGTTCCAGGACGTCGGTGTTACCGCGATTCAGTATTGTTTTTTCCCCGTTGTCGGTCTTCCCTCCTTGCTACGTCCATCAGCAGGTACCATTGGCCTCGCTCAACCGCAGGTACTGTTGGCATGCAGTCCGTTTCACCGTCGATTCTACAAAAGTCCCTAAGTCGTCGGACCTATGGGGGCAAAAGTTTATTTCACGTGCCGAATGCCGCGGACCCATCTTTCGTGGTACTTTTCCTATTTTTTTGTGAAAGTGCCCTGTCGGGTCAGCCCCTAAATCGGGGGAAAAAAAGACAGAAGGGAAGGTCCCTAGGGGAGGGGGAGCAAATCGTGGGAAGAAAAGAGAGGAAGGCGCCACCGCCTCGGATTTTTTTATTTTTTTTTCCCTTTTTTGCAGCGGCCATGCTAATCTTCTCTGTATCAAAAAACTGCTTCTTGACAGGGGGGGGCAGTCGACGGTGCTAAGTTAGCCCTCGCGTTCGCGTACGCCGCCATCTTCAATGCGGGTAACGTGGGTTAGCTCACGGAACATGATGGCTTGGGTAGCCTAGTTAATTGTGTTGCACGTATGAGGGTGATTCTTCTCAGTGCACTAATCAAGGTGTCTCCACAGCAAGCGCATTTCACCACGTCACAGTAACTTCAAAGTTACCATGCAGTAATTCCAGAAAGGGTAAACTAAGTACGATTTTTTTGCCTTTTTATATTATGGGCGACGTGGTAAGCAATGTTTCTTTTGTCGAGAACAACTTACTAAGAGTATTTTGTGCAGTTGGCGTTGTAGTCAAACGCTTTTGATATCTCAGGCTGTTTCATTTTTGGAGAAGTACCTTATATGGGAAGCGGTGGTTTTGTACTTCGCTTCATGTGTTTTAGCTTATGGGCTTATACCGCTTCGTGGGTACTCAACCAACAACCTTTTCTGTGGGGTTTTGCCTCTTTGGCATTTACGTTAGGGAAAAGGCAAGAGTTTTTGAGGCAGTGACCAAGGGTCGAGGTTTCTTTACTGTGGCAAGAACAGTACAAGATATCAGTCCAATTACAACCAGAGATTGTGGTGGATAAGCAAGGCCAGTCAGGAGCAAGGTCGCCATTACCGGCAGCAAAAAACGCGGAGATCGTAGACGACAGGGTTTGAGACTTATTAGCTCAAAACTATGAGGACGAAAATATCCAGAAGGAAGTACCTTTTGATAGCGTGAAAATTGTAGGCAGGGGGGCAGTTTTTAGAATGACCTCAGAGTTTGACCATATAAATGCTCAGTGGCTAAAGGAAAGGACACAGTCATTGTGTTCAGTGACGCGGCTAAGGAGCTTCCAAGGAAAGTAAAAGCCGACCTCATAAGAGCGTATGAAAACGGTTGGGCCAGAGATGAAATCTTTGCCGCTCAAGTTCAAAGAGGCACGATTCCCTTTGAAGGCACAAATGTCATTGCCAATGTGGTAAGGGATAAGGTAGTTGTTACCTGGATGGTCAACCAAAGGGAGGATGCGATAGAGTTGTTTAGGTAGATGTATGCATCGAGTTTTTGCACATGGATGACACGTATGGAGTAGCGAGAGTTTAAAAGAATCAAAATAGAGAATGACTTCTATGTCATGGCACTGCACGTTCCTTTGGATACTATCGTTGTCGAGTGTAGCGGCTGCCTCCCGACCA